TATAGCTGTGAGCTCTGTGCTGGTGATACGTGTTGTTCAATAAATTAAATATGAGTGCGTTGTCCTTATTGTCGTTCGAAGAAGAAACGAAAATATTTCCAAAGGGGCGGATTTTTTTAAAAGTGTACCTAAGTTAAAATTAAGGTCCTCATTTTTTTTGTTTTGTTTTCAATATGTGTAGTTGAATTCTTATTATCTATTAATTGAACTTTAAGAAAATGTATAGAATATTTAAATAGCTGCTACAAATTATTCATAATTGTTATGGAAATTCTATTGTAAGGGATTTTGGGCTCCATTGAATAACGATTTAGTATCGCACTCAGTAAGTTGAATAAAACTGGTATAATGGAAATCATACTTTATTAAATTAGGTAGGTATTGTTTAACTAAAATAATCAACATTTAGTTCGGACAGAGAAATTTTACAATAAAATGATTGTATGTTTATATCCTCTGACTAACTTGTTATATAATCAGTAGTGTGTTTTTCATTATAACAGATTCAAATCGTCATTGATTACTATTTTGTTATGTAATTTGAAAGTAAAACAAGTATGTTGTCTTTATAATAACATTAAAATATCAAAAACTGAACACAAAAGTTATAATAAACCCTTAATTTTGAATTATTCTAAGAGGGACAGTTTCTCATTGGAACGTTGAAATTTGTCAGTGGAAAAGTAAGGGCTCTGGTTACAATGAAGGTTGTTTTTGCCAATTTTGATTGTTTTACCAACTTATTGAAATTATTTTGCTTTGTTACAATATACTTACTAGAAAACTGAATAAACTTCTTAATGAAAAACAATATTTAAAAATCCTTAAAAATATCATTAAAACTGACTATGTTTTAATGAGTCTTAATGGTGCGTCTGACGAATGCGCCGCTTGCGAACGGCTTCCGAACTGCGCGCGAGCGGTGCATTCGCCAGATGACCATTATATATCACGTATATAAAATAACAATAGGAACACTGGTAGTCATAATAATAAAGCTAATTTTGAACTGTACATCAGTGACGATGGTTGGGAAGTTCAATATACCTAACTAGAAAAACTTCTTAAAGCAAAACACAAAAAAAACTCTTACATAAAATCTTTTAACAGAATGTCTTAAAATATTATTAAAACTGACTTTTTCATAATTAGACAAGAATCACATATTGTCACAATAATAGGAACATTGGTATACAGGATAATAAAACTGTTTTTGAGCTGCAATAATACTTAAATAATAATTAATAACAGTATTCGCATTCATCATGTTGATAGTGGTGATACGCAGCATACCCACAATATTTGCACCAAAAGAAACTGCTGGATATCAACACATTTATTTGTGCAGTATTCATGATACTGGTGAAGTGAGGAGGCATGGACCGTTTTGCAGAACTTGGTAATATGTGTCCACAACCAAAACATTTCGAAGCTAAAACAAAATGTGTCCACGTCCAAGGCCAAATCAGGCGATTTAAAACTTATCTAAATCCATAATGTTATCATTTATAAACATGTTTTTGAAGCTTTTCTGGTATCTTGCGATGGCAAAGTTGCAACGGACTTATTTTACCTGGAACAATTTTATTGATATATATTTTAAGAAACACCAGTGGTACTGAAAAACTTGGTAACTTGGGGTCGTAGATTTCTCTAAGCAAAACATTTTCTTAGATGGATGTATGGGTTGACAAGAATGGATAAAGTGAGAAATGAGTATATTAGAGGAAGTTTGAAAGTGGCTCCAGTGACTGAAAATTGAAAGGAAATCGTCTGTCATGGTATGGCTATGTAATAAGGAGGGATGAAATCATGTGATGAATTGAATATGTGTGTTGACGAATGTAGAGGAAGAGGTAGGTCAAAGAAAAGATTGATGGAGTAAGAGAAGATAATAATATGTATGAAAAAGGAGTAAATGTTTAAATGACTGCTGATAGAGGAGAATGGAAGAAGAAAACATTTTGCGCCGACCCCAAATATCATGGGATAAGGGCAGGCAGAAGAAGAAAAAAAATTTCTTAGGTCTGTATTACAGAACCTCACTCAAGATTACATTACTTAACTTTAGTTACATTACTTAACTAGTTTCAATTAATCAAACGCTTTAAACGAGTTTTACTACACACCTTTTTATTCTTCGCCTAAACAATGATTACATACGTAATCAAAATAAGTATAGCCGTCGCTGCATTTTGAACAAATAGATTTTTTGCATGCCATGCATTTTATTATTCTTGATCGAAATGGCGACACGTGTTGGTTGCAGGTGGCACATTGTATGGTTCGACTTATGGATGTTTTTATAGCTTTTGAAACTCTGGGTTGGATATTTTCTTTGGTTTTAGGATAGACAATTGGTAGTTCCGTTCTAGAATGATAATTTTTTTTTGTTTGGGTTTTAAATTATTTTGATTAGCTTCGATTAATTTACGTTTTTTGAATTGCATGGTTTGACCAATAATGTTTTGTCGACCTTCGCTAAGTGTGTGAGGACCTAGTTGATTTGAAACTGTTATGTCTTGTGAAATTGTATTCAAAATTAAATCAATGTCTTGATCAAGTAGACTTATATATTGTATTTCCGGAGATGGACATAATTGGATTGATATTTCAGGTGGACATATTTCCGAACACTGTATATTTTCTTCATCAACCTCTGTTGTACGGTAACTCGTAAGCTCGGCATTGACTAATATCGGGTTTGATGCGTCATTATAAACTTTTTTGTTCACTTCTTCAAACTCCAAGTTTTCGCCATGTAGGGTGGGTTTTGAAAAATCGTCGTTCGGTCTGAATGTCGTGTTGCAATCTTCATCGACAAATTGGATAATCTCATCCAAATTGTCAAATTGACTGTGATGAGTGACAGCTTTAGATGAATTCGTGTCTGTCGAACGAGAGTCAGCTCTGGGTGGTGGTATTATACCAGTTGGATGAATGTCAGCTATGAATGAGATTATTTTTGAATTACTATTTACTGCACCAGAGTCTGTGAAAGTATGAGATGAATGTGTGTTTGTAGAATGAGTGTTAGCTCTGGGTGATGATATTGTACTAGTTGGATGAATGTCAGCTTTGAATGAGATTATTTTTGAATGACTATTTATTGCACCAGAGTCTGTGAAGCTATGAAATGGATTTGTGTCTGTCAAACGAGTGTTAGCTATGGGTGGTGATATTGTACCAGTTGGATGAATGTCAGTTTTGAAGGATATTACCTATATTTGAATGGTTATTAATTGCACCAGACTCTGTGAAACTATGACTTAGTGGAGCAAAACAATCACATAATCCTTTGTTATTTCCACAAAAGCAGGAATAGTTTCTGTGTTTAATAACACTTTGGCGAGTCGATATGATTTGGTGAATTTTCATTGTTCCAACTATGGTCTTTAAATCTTGAGGAATTATTTTGCAAATATTTTCAATATCAGTGTTCTTAATATAAAAACATCGTATGGACTTCATGAGCTTTTGCAATGCCTCATGAGCTTTTATACCATTCGTGACATCATTTCCATAGGTAACATGGCGGTCAAGTGCTCTTTTAATGGAACCACCAATGCCATCAGCGACTCCTTTTCCATGACCACGTTCCGTAAAAGACCATGTAGAATAGTTGAGCTTGAGTTTTGACGTGAACAAATTATGAAGATAGAAATTTTTCTTTTGGCGATACTGAGAGCTCGGGCCATCCGAATAAAAATGAATAATATTTGTCTCAGGTTTCAGCGTTTTCATCATTTTTATAACAGGCATAAGGTGAGCCCATATTGCTGCTGGCTCGTGGCAATTATTATCCGCAATTGAACAAAAAGATTGACTTTGGTCTTTCCAGAATATCATGCCTGTAATTAAGAAAACAAATAAGTCTTAATCAAGTTACAAGTTAACTAATAATCCTAATAATGTTAATCATAACAAAAGAAGTATATCGACTGATTATGAATGGAGATCTCTCCTTTATGCGTATCGACCAAGAAGAAAATGCGCTAAAAAATAGAAGTCTTAAAAAAAGTACCTGTATGGAGAGTGATTTGTTGTTTGGATGCACCAAAGTGCATCGATTGAATTTCTGTATGTAGCTTACACTGATAGTTTTCGGAAAAATCACATAATATTAGGGCCTCATTTTCGTTTAATGTGCAGTGATGGGCAAAAAGTATTTAGATTAATAATTACAAATTACAGTTACATTGTAATTTGTAATTGAAATACTTTGTAACAGATTATTTAAGTAACTAATTGCAATGAGTACATAATGTAATTAAATACAAAGTAATTGAATTGCAAGATAATCTAATTACATTATAATAGATTACCTATGTAATCTGATAAAATGTAATTACCTACACATTTATATAAGTATTGGGAAAAGTTTTGAAAACAAATACGAAAATAAAACACATAATTATACAAAAAAAGTAATCATCTGTCAATCATTGTTTAGTTTTAAATATTTTATTAGTAATAATTTTCACCATTGGCTGATAAAAAAAAATGTTTTCTGATTTATAATTTAAATTATGATGACGACTTGTAATCTTAAGAAAATGTTACGTGCTTATAATACTAAAGATTAGAAGTAACTGAAGTGGGCGGGTGAAGCGGGGTGGCTAGGAGCGACGACGCACGAGCACAATGCATAGAACTCCCCGCTCCCCCGCACATTATACTTACTACCCTATGACGTCGAACGGGCCGCACTTGCAGTACACCTATATCGCAACTGTGTGATGCAAGCATGCGACATTTCATATTCAAAACAATTATAATATAATTAAATACTATGTAATTAGGTTACTTTGTAATCAAATTATCTTGTAATGAAATACATTATAATTAATTTCATAGCACATCCAAAGTAACTTAATTACAATGTAATTGAATAATATGTAATTAAATTACTTTTTAATTAAATTATTATGTAATTCAATTATTAATTAGATTACATAAATAACTAGTTACGCCCATCACTGTTAATGTGTTAACAAGACTTTGGTATTGTTGCTGCTGGTGTTTCCAGGTGTAATAGTGTTTTTTAAACTGTGGAATACTGGATTCAAATATATTAACTAAAGTACAAATTGTTCCTTCCTTCAATACTTTAGAGCTTTTTTTTGTAATTACAGTCTTGGAAATTCCATTCTCAGTCTTCTTGTATTTGTAGTCTTCACGCTCCCATTGCACCCATTTCGCGCTCAAATTTGCCTGATCTTCTGCAAGGTGGTAATCCAACTTTGATAGTTTGCATGCCTCACATTCGCCGTTCATACATTTAAATGACTCCAAGTTGCAACTTACTAGTAATAAGACATCTTTCACAGATTTGCAATTTAGCAACAGTTTATGTACGTGCAGAGCATGCAACAAAAAGTCGAAATTACCATGCTTGATGCATAAACAAGTTTCTCGGTTTTGTACGCCCGGAGTTAAGACGAAAAAAGGCTTATATTTGTAGAATGTTGCTAGGCTGTATCTACCACCTTCAGATTTATATATTTGGTATAATTTGACTTATGTATCCGTTAGATATCGTATCTGTTCTTTTCTCTTTGATTTTTTTTCAGTACGACATTCTTTTTTACCAGCAGTACATCTGCTGATATTGTCCTGTAAGTAGAAACTTTCTATTTCTCTTTTTATTGTATTATTTCTTAAAGCTTCTTTACGTTTTCTTATTTTACCTTTCAAGCCTATTAAATTTGTAACATATGTTTTCTTCCTAGCACGTATTACATTTTCGTTAAGAACTATTCTTTTAGCGATCCTTTTTTCTTGTTGAGTTTTACATTGTTTTAGTGTCTGTTTTAGTGTAAATTCTAGAATTTCTTGCCTTGTTTTCATCTTATCAATAAGTTCTTCAGTTTTTTCATATTTTTTTTTAAGTCTGTATAACTGCTTTCGAGCTGTCTCTAAACGAGTTGTTAGTATTCCTATTCTTTTAAGAGCTATATTATACTTTTTCGCTAATTTGGTATTCCTTCGCTTTACCTGTATGGAAACAATAGGCTCAGGAGTCTGCAGTGGCGGTACGCAGCTTGCAGAACGATTTTCCTTTTTAATTTTTTGTTTACGTTTTTGGTTTCTCCATTTCTCTCTTTGTTTTTCTTTCTCCGCTTCTGAGAGATCAGACACTTTTTTGATTTTTGATTTTACGAAAGCTGCATGTTTTTTCTTGTATTCTTCAAATTTTATTGGGTCTTGCTTTAATTTGTCCCTGTGTCGTCTAACTCTCTCAGCTGATGTGAGAGGCATTTTTATCACCTAATGATCAAATTACAATTTAAATACTTTTCTCTAACACTCTTTCAAACAATAAAGTTGGCAAGGATTCTAAAGATACCGTATCTAAATCGGTTCAGTTGTTAAAAGCGTGTACGCCCGCCGTACGGCATTTCATACAACAACACAAACACATAAACAGGATAGGTAAGTACATAGGTAAAAAGTTAGTTGAAAACAGTTTCGCCAAATTGTGTAACAGTTAAAATATACCGCTTTTAAATTTTTCATTGTAACAGAAATTTCCAAAAGTATTTTTCTTTTAAATAAGATATTTCGAAAATGTTCTCAACTAACTTTATAGACTTATGTATCCTGCTTATGTATGTAAAGTTTCATTAAAATCAGTCAATTCAAAACAGTTGCTAGTTTTAATGACTTTGTGTCTATTTTAATAACGCAATAAAATATTATGTGATCTGACGGAACGCTGTTCGTCGTGAATACAGCTTTAGCGTTCCACTGACTAACAATTTTCTCCATTGAGTAACGTTTTCGTCAGAATTAGTCAGTGGAATGTAACGAAAGTCCGACAAAAAATATGTTTGCACTTTTATTTCCATGATTTGCCGTTATATAAAGGAAATTATGCATCAATTTATAAAACTATTAACTAATAGTTCGTAAATTAAGTAGGAAACGTGTAAAAAATTGTTCAATTACCTTAAAAAGTGCCGCTAGTCACTGGATCTATTTTATGCACACACTATACGCGTCCTCCTTGTATCGGTTGTGCACGATGACAGAGAATTTGTTGTCAAGATGGCGGCAGTCAACCAGACAGCTTAGTAATGTTGCCAACCAAAAAATATATTTATAATTTTGTAATATTTTTTTAAAACCACTTAAATTCGCGTTAAGCGCAATACACATTGAGACATATGTCGGCAACTTTTTGTCGGCGGTATAGTTGGCGGCTTCACTTATTACAAGTCGGAGAATTTGGTCGGCGGCATGTCGGCGGCTTGAGATAAGAAATTTATTTGGCAGTCAGTGATTACCCCGTGTCGATAAAGGTTGTGTGGTTGTGCGATATAATTTTGATGGTGTATCTTCGATAATTCAGTAAATAGAAATAATCTTAAAAATGGACGATGGCAGTGATCTGTTGATAGCAGCTTGTGGAATGTTTATTGCTGGATCGCTACAAAAGGAACGAAGCTGTTGGGTTAGACCTAGTTTACTGAGTCGCAATTGTTATAGCAATCATGACAGATTAAGAGATTTGAAAGCAGATGACTTGATTGTACAAAATCCCATACATTTTAAAACATTCATGAAATTAACCAATACCGACTTTGAATATTTATTGAATATTGTTGGGCCGAGAATAGGTAAAAAAGATACAAATTGCAGAATTGCAATTTCGTCACAAGACAGATTAGCAATAACATTAAAATACCTGAGTACGGGCGAATCATTCATTAGCCTTTGTGATGTGTTCAAAGTATCTCCTCAAATTATATCATACATTATCCCAGAAGTATGCCAAGCTATAATCGATGGCCTTTCGGAGTATGTAAAGGTAAAATTAAATGTTTAACTTTTTTAAATAAACCTAAATGTTGATAAATATAAATTTTAAATAGATTTATATTTTTTGTGCTGTTTAATTTAGTTCGAAGTATAATTTAGTTAATGTTCTTATTTTAGATTCCGAGAACTTCAAACGAATGGAAAAAAGTTGCAGATAGATATCTGGATAGATGGAATGTTTCTAATTGCCTTGGATCAATGGACGGAAAACACGTAAAAATTCAATGTCCACCAAGAAGTGGAAGTGAATATTTTAACTATAAAACTTATTTCAGTATTGTACTATTTGCATTAGTGGCAGCAGATTACAAGTTTTTATACGCTAATGTTGGATGTCAGGGTCGCATTTCAGATGGCGGTGTTTTTAATAACTCTGCGTTATGCAGAATGTTAAATAACAATTCTTTAAATTTGCCGGACAACAAACCTCTACCTGGGAGAAATGTACCAGTGCCATATTTTTTTTTGGGTGATGATGCTTTTGCATTACAAACCCACATTATAAAATCTTACGATGGTAATCACACAAAAAGATCTCAAATACACAACTCACTTAGGTAATTAGTATTAGATAAACATTATGGTCCACTAACCTGTAAAAGAAACAACATTAAGAGCTATTGCTTCAAACAATCCTTTGTATCCTTATTTTAAAAATAATTTTCACAAATATCTTTCGCGCTTATTCTAAAATCTCGAGACGAAACAAAACCATTGTCTTTGACATAGTGGAAAAAAGCTGTCACCACAGATTATACTGACGTATAAAGTCTAAACTAAAATACGCGGGAAATTTAAATTAAATGAAGGGCTAACTTAGCTTCTTCATTTACATATATATAACTCAAAATCGCCCAAAATGTCGCTTAAACCAAATAGTCCGTTATCCCTCGACATTATTATCATAATCACATCATTAAAGCAGTAGGACCTGCATAATAATTACAAGGTAACTTTGTGTGGTTGTATCGTAAATTGTTTGGTATCGTAGATACAGTTTTATACAGGTTCCATGAAAAAAAAAAATATAAATGAATGTATGTAAATGAATGTATGTAATGTCGCAATATAAATGACGACATCTCCCTAATTCGTCTCTACTCTTCTGGGTAGCAAACAAAAGGATCCTCCTTTTACCGTCATTATAATCCGCAAGGATGAAGTTGCAAAATGAGTTTGGCACCTAAAACAAGAAAATGCTGTTTATTTATGGTCATTGACAATGATCGGGTAATTAGGTACACACGGCTGTACATCAAGCTGTACAAAAACCAGTATAAGCTGACCGTTCAATCTATGGAAAGATCATATAAAGCGAGTCCAACACAAACTGGTTTTGTATAGCTTGATGTGTAGCCGTGTGTACAAAAACTTTTACAAAAATAACGATGTTGACAAGTCGGGCCTAAGCGCCTTTAGGCTGGAAACAGTGCTCGACCGACGGTCAGTGCTGACCGTACGTCAAGACCGTCAGCGCTGACCGTCGGTTCCAAAAATGCATTTAGTGCTACGCTGACGGCGAACTGTAACGCGTGTGTACAGTTCACATGTAAAATGAATCCTTTTGCTGTAAATGCTCTAATATGTGCACGCTATTTTTTGCGCAAACGACGGAATAGAAGGCGGCGAAGATATCATGTACACCCAATACTTGTAGAACGGTTGTTAGAAGGCGAGTTCTGCAAACTATTTTCGAGATTGCAAGAAGACGAGGAAAAGTTTTTTGATTATTTTAAGATGTCAATCAGAAGTTTTGATGAACTACAAGCAAGGTTACATGATATTTTGAAACATTCCAATATGTTTCGAGCTCCGGTCCAACCTATTGAAAGATTGGCTGTGACTTTAAGGTAAGTACTTATTACAATAATAAAATAATAAAATACTCAAAATTTTTAATCAACATTTATTTAAAAAAATACATTTTTTTATTGAACGTGAGAAAATCGTTTATAATACAGTTTTGATTGGATGAATCATTTGTCTGTATATGAATCAGCTGAGAAGAGGGTTCCTCTATCAAATAGGACTGTTGGATATTTGACTGACCGGGCAGTGTTTGAATAGGAGTTTGTACCACTGGGTACAACGTCATAGAATTACTATGTTGCGAATCTGATGAAGTAAAAGAATGCGATGTTCCTGGACGGTGTAAGCCGAGCCTTGAAATTTCCAAGGCTTTTTGTAGCACCTCTTGACGAAATATTAATTTTTGCTCGATAGAAAAAGTATTAGTAATCGGCAACAGTGAACTGAAAAACGCCATATCATCGTTTTGCATAACTTTTGCATTCTCTTTAAAGAAAGTCAGCATTTCTCTGTCAAACTCATCTTCATTGCGAGTTTTTGACGTGTTCGCGTCAATTTTCGTCCACCGTTAGAGGCAGTTTTGCTGTTTTGATTAATGTTGGAATCATCGGAAGTTGAATGCTGAGGTTCAAGAGTTCCTTCGTTTCCAGTAGGTTGAGATACGACAGCACCTTCGTTTTGGTATTCAGCAGTTTCATTTTGGTTTGGCTTCTCATTTGGCAAAATTGAATCCTCGGTATTCAATTCTCGTTTATTATCCAGAAATTTCATAAACTCAAAATAAACATATGTCTTCCTTTTTTTACCTCCAGATCCAGACGGTATATTCTTTAATGTAGCCTTACACCTCACATAAGCGTCTCGCGCAGTTTTCCACCTCTGCTGCACTTGTTTGTCTGTAAAAGAAGATTAATATTTATTTTTTGTTTCAGATACTTCGTGACGGGAGAGACATTTAAAGATCTTCATTTTAGCTATCGTTTGGGGGCTTCAACTATTGGTGAAATCATTAAAGAAGTATGTAAGAAAATTTGGACTCTACTCCATGAAGAGTGTCTTTCGATACCTAATTCACAGGAAGGGTGGCTACGAATCGCTGCCGGTTTTGAAAATACAGCAAATTTCCCTAACTGCATCGGTTGTATAGACGGGAAGCATGTCAGAATAATTTGTCCTAAATATAGTGGGAGTCTGTATTCAAATTATAAAAAGTTTTATTCTATAGTTCTTTTAGCTATGTGTGACTGTGACTATCGCTACACCTATATAAATGTAGGGGCATATGGAACAGATTCTGATTCAAATATTTTTCGAAGAAGTTCATTATTTACGAAATTACACAACGGAGAAATAATATTGCCTCCACCAAAACCATTACCTCACACTACAGAACCTCTCCCATATATGATTATCGGCGATGCCGCGTTTGGTATATCGAACAAAATTTTAAGACCTTATGCACGAAGTAATCTGACACATAAGAAAAAAATATTTAATTATCGCTTAAGCCGTGCTAGAAGGTACATTGAGTCTACATTTGGAATAATGAGTAATAAATTTAAGATATTTCACAGACCAATGAATACTTCCCTACCGAATACAATAGCAATAATAAAGGCTTGTTGCCTTTTACATAACTACATTCGAGAAAGAGACGGGTACAGAATACAGGATACACTAACTGTTTTAGGGTTTGACCAATCTCTTAATACAAACAGTAATAACAGCAGATCAGGTGACACAATAAGGGATAAATTTTCCAACTATTTCGTTTCTCCCGCTGGTAGTGTACCGTGGCAAGATACGTGTATTTTTTAATTAAATAGTATTTTACAACAATAATAACGTTTTATTTACTTACCTATATCCTTTTTCTCACTCTCGGATTTATCGTCGAAATCCGGAATTAATTCTTTACAAACTTCTTGCCAAGCACTTATTCTAGCATCACGATCTTTATAAAATACATGCGATAAATCCCATATTACCGGACGAAGCCGCACTTCTGTAATAAGACGCTCTGTATCAATATTCATTTTTGCTTTGAATGTACGTACGCGCGTTCCGTCAGCGAAGCACTGAACGCAACGATACAATCTCACAGCTCGTCGTTCGACCGACGTACGCGCGACCGACGAGCCGGACCGACGGCTCGACCGACCGCTCGCGCGTACCAAATCACGCGCGTACCGTCAGCGTAGCTGTGTGCGTGTTCATAGACTTACACAGATATAGCTACGTCGTCCGACGGTCGGCGCTGACCGTCGGTCGAGCACTGTTTCCAGCCTTAAGGTTTAGGATACATATTAACTTAAGTGTTTGGGGTAGAATTGATAGGTCTAAAGCTCACAGACCCACTTATTTATTTAAATGATTATTTGTAAGTTTTTTGTCTAATGACAGGACAGGACATTTTAATGATTGTTGAATTTTTGACTTTGATTGGCATGTTTTATTCAAGAATAAAAAAAAATATGCATTTTAACTTAAAAAAAGTTGCTTTATACTAGAAGGTTGCTCTCTATTTCTCGTCTAAGATTCGTGCACGATGCGCGGGCGCGAAGAGGGTCTTGGGGTACTAAAGGATGGCGGGGAGAAGGGTCGGGCGGCGGACGGCGCGCGCGCGGCCAACACCCAACAAAGATCAATGGTTTGTGCCTGGCTGATAGATGGCGCTAAAACTAAATATTGCCAAAGCAAGCGGTGCGAACAATATTATGAAATAAAAAAAAGTAGTATAGAGCATAGATTATTATGACTAAACGGCAAGGCATCAAATAAAATATAGTTATTTTTATATTAATTACTTACTTGTACATCTGTTGGAGATTTCGCAAACAAGCGCTTGACTCCAAGACTTTTATTTCTTTTGTTAAATAGTGTACTTTTAACATTTTTAAATTCTGGTATATCTTGTGTCAAATTTATTCCCTGGTCTAGTAAATTATTTAGCTTTCATTTATAAACCTCAGGAAGAGGGTCCAAGGTGGACATGGATTCTTGATGTATGTCATCCACGACTTCTTGTACAAATTGTGTTACTTTATTCCGCGTACAAAAATGCTCGTTGTTCTTTAAAACATCTTCATATTTGCTGAGAGTAAGCACGGCACCACATGATTGTATAGTACACCGCCACAAAGTGTTCCCATTTTTATACATTTTAATTAGTCTATGCGTTTTATTTTTATATAATAAAACTCTCTTGCCCTTTCTGCTTTTCACATATTTAATTAGCGCGCTTTTATTACTAGGTCCAGCAATTGGTTCCATGTTAAAACTGCACAAACTTTTTAAATAACCACACTTTCACAACTTCACTTAACACATTCGCGCAACTTATGAGTATAAACACAGCAAAACAAACTGCAATTTTGCGTAAACAAGTTCCGGAAATGCTCGGCTAGATTCGTGTGAAGTCGGTAAACGCAACCTGTGACGCGAAAGGATACAATGGGGAGGCGGGGCTGCGGCTTGTGTATGTGTGCTCCCGCGCCACGCGCGCCCCGTATCGCCAGAGATTAAGGGAGTATTGTACTAATACTTTCGGTTTTGGTTTTCGTCCATACTAACCAGGAATACTTTATTTAAAAAAACACTCTATGGTCGAGGAGTAAAGCATTTTTGTAAATTGTATAAAATAACATTTTTACTTATTATCGATAGTTTCAGTTAGCATCCCATCTCTAATCGAAAATTTATCGTAGGTGCGTTTCGTGGAATAAAATAGGTGCGTTTCATCAGGTGCGTTTTAAAACAGGTGCGTTTTGTGGAATACCTCCTTGGCTGCTTATACGTTCACTATTAGAACTTTCATCAAGCGCTACTGGTACCGATGGTTCAACTCCAGGAAGGTGCGGATGAGGGCTTATGTTGATGGGATATAGAGATGAAGGGTTTGTATTTGGCTGATTATCAGAATTTGTGGGGGTAGAATGCTGATGATCCGGGCTCGTAATAGTAGAATATACAGATGATGAGCGGTTAGAAGGATATGCATTTGGCTGATCATTTGGAGAACCTGTACAGTACCCTGGATGACTACGAGAGCTAGAGGGTCTTACGTAATCTACATACATATCTGTCTGATATCCAATTTCGGTTTCAAAAAGAATGTTATTAATTCGATGTTTTACTATTGCATTTGTTGATTTATCCATTTTTCTCAGTTTTGCTGCAATATATTCTCCAAAAAGAGTGTCTTCGTTTTTTTCTTGTGTTTGATTTTGACGATCGGAGACAGATTTCATAATATTCAGAGCATGTGAAATCATTTCATTGTTTAGATTTTTTCTGGGACGTTTAATCGTGTCATCGGCAAATGAATGAGATGAATCATTTTGCTGGGGTTGTACAACACTGCTCTCGTTTGATGTCTCCTGAAATTAAAATATTTTAAATCTGTTGTATTGTGTTACATAGAAAGTAAAGATAAATAATATAGTCAAGATTTAAATCGGATGTATACAGGGTTATTTTATGAACAGTGAGCATACGAAAATATTGTACCAGTGTCGATATTATTTTCAATAATATTTTTATTTTATTCCCTTATCTTTAATTTCCCTTTAAAAGGAGACCTTGTGGAAGTAACAAACAAGGACATTTGTAACAAAGTAAAAACCCTATTAAAAAAGGAGGCGGAGCTTAGCGAGGGGGAGGAGGGGAGGGGGGGACTTACTAGAAACACGTTGTCTTAAATTCGATCAACCTTGTATATATTTTATATTATTTACATTTAACACTATGGTGGGTCAGCACTTTTGAACTTGTTCTGTTCAGTACAATAAAAAAATTTGGATAAAAATAATAAATGTATTTTTACTTACAGTATCGATCGTGGCTGTAGGAGTATTTTTGTTTTGCAAAACACTAAGGCCCCTTTTCACCAACGAAACTGATCACGATTACACCTAACAAAACTGATTTAAAGCGTCTAATCGAATTTAAAGCGTTTAAACGAAGTTACAGCTTCATTTTACATTTCACCGCTACAAACAGAAACTAGTTTACACGGAACTCAGTTTTTGACAGTGCTCTCGGCGTTTAGCCTCGCTAA